GAAACTTTACACACCGACGTAGAAGTAACACTTGAAACGCTGAACGTCGCTCGCATTAGTGCACGCGTTCCACTTCTAACGAGGATGTTATCAAATGCATTTATGATCCTAAGTCGTTTTACGTCTTAGCCGACCTTGCGCGATCCGTCGACGCGCGGAATACTTTATCGAATTCGCAGATAAGCGACGGTCGCTCTATCTTGATTATTGATCTCACCGCCAATTGACGCGATTGAATTCTCCCATCGCTCCTCGTGGTGCATTCCTCTCGCTCGGGGATTTGCGGTCGTGGCGGAAAATAGCGTTCAGCGACTGCGTCTACGCGGCGATTTCGCGAGCGTCAGTTTCACGCGCTGCGCGTGCCGGCACGCGGATTAACGTCTGTCCCTCCGCGCGGACAGCTGTTCGCGATCGGTGACCGGCGATGACGACGACGACGAAGCGCGTAACACATTTCGTGACATACAAAGTCAGGGAAACGCGGACGTTCCGCGTCTCCGGCCGCGCCGCGCGTCCGTCCGACACGCCGCACGTACGCGCCGAACGATTACGTAAAACTATCAGTGACCGATAAGCGGGTGAGAGGAGGAGCGTTCTCGCGCGGCGGCGGACGCGCGTGTCCGCGCGCGTTACGCGGACACGTGGTGCGCCCGGAGGGCTTTAAACGCCGCGGTTCCCTTTAACAGAGTCCGCCCTTTCACCTCTCCGCCGCATGACTTGCCTGTTTCTCTGGATGAGATTCGGGAGTCCGAAGTCCGCCGCGCGACAAATCCGTCCGGCTGTCGTCGGGCAAATGCGACACGGAGAAGGAGCCCGCTCGCTTCTTGGGTATACGGCGGCTTGCGCACGCTCCACGTGATGGTTCGATCGTTCCTGCCTGTCCATTGTCGTACCGAGGGCAGGAAATTCTGTTGTCAGCGACCGGTTCTTCCGGCACGTCAGGAACGGACGTGCCGACTCGTATACCCTGTATAATATAATTATACCAGCGCTCGCTCGCCGCTATTTAATTTCTTCGGCTCCGATTCACTGACTACTGATCAGAGTATCGAGGCGGAAAACTGCCACGTGTCGTTCAAGCGTTCGGGACATTTTTCATGTGTCGTAGCGATCGTCGAATCGTATAATCGAAGGGAACTTTCTGTTTCGCAGAATGCATTTGCCTCGGATGGCTAATTCAGGATTTATTTATTCGTTATTTAATGAACAAAACAAAATAATTGTCGAAATTCGTTTTCCACAGCAAAGAAGATCTGCGAAAGGAAGTCTTTAGCGCAGTGATAGAACACTCGGCTAAATATACTTTGTTATTTTTCTCACTTATACCTCGATATAAACGCGAGGAATTTAATATCACAGAGTTAGTTCCATTCAATTCTCGACGCGTTTACCAGAGGATTTTACGGAATTTCATAATCGAGTCCACCGGCCGACGTGATAGATTGGAATTTGGCTGACAAACTCTCTAAACCGTTAAGTTTTACAGATATTATTTTAGATAGATTAGATAGATAAAGATAAAGATATATCTGTAATCTATGCGACGCCTTTCTGAATACTTTATCATTTATTTACGGTTTTCATAATTAAATTATAAAAACGACATATTTATAAGTTGCATTATGTTTTCTAATACGAGACAGCGGAGTTTCTGCTAAATTAATAGGCAGTTAATTCCACCGTGAATTTATTGCCCTTGGAACGAAATCTGTGTGGTGGAAAATTAATTGTTAGACTGTGTAATCGTAGCGAAAAAAAGATTCGCAATTGAATTTGGGTGTTGAAAACCTGCTATCTCATTTTCATATTAAATCTCATAATAGAGGACTTGCCTCTATTTCTAAAGATTTGCTTTAAGAGGAAAGGAAAGATGTTATCGATCACGTGTCCCTTGAGAGCGATCCACGATAGACGAAAGAAATTATTGAGTTTTCGTGTTCGAATTGAATACGACAGATGTGTTTACCAACATTTTTACAGAACGTTATCCTAGCCCGAAGATCTGTGATTTTATTAGTTGCGTACTGAATATCATAAAAGTAATATTAGAACGTAGAGATTATTTCTTTTCTTACGATTACGCGAAGTATGGCTAAACAAAATCGAAGAAATCTTAAGAAAACAGCTAGAGCGAGTCTGGAAAGCGAACTGGAGAATGAAATGTATATACACATGTGTGTGTGCGTATGTGTGTGTATATGAATTAAAAATTACACATACAATATATGTAATACATTTTGAAAAGCATTTACAGAAAATTGATCAACTTTACTTTTATCTCTATCATTTTCCACGATCCCCGTTGTAATTGCTTTATTGCTTTATGACAGTCTTCTTACTGCGTCTATATCTGTATTATCTAAAGCTGACGTATGCAGTTTGTTTCGAAATTCGAAGCTTTGTTTGTCTCGTTAATCATCACGCAACATCCTAAAACAGTTTATGGACAAGCAAAATTTGCGACCGAGAATTGTTATCTGGGATGTTGCATGTTGGGAATACTTCTAGTTTGAGACTTAATAATTCATAGATACGGCTATGTAATTCAAGGTGTACGTTTCACGTGCATATAGAGGCACTAAAAGTCGCCGCACACACGTAACAGTAACCGTAAGGTTTTTGACCAGTCACGTTGCTCAATTCGGCCGGCCGTAATCAAATCAATCCTGGCTGGACTCACAATCAAACCAAGCCGGCATTTATTTTCGTAAATGCACGTGTTGCGCGCACGATATGTGCACCACGTGATTCGTGCGTACCACGTGACTTGTTCAAGTGACTGGCCTACGTGTAGAGCAGTGAACTCTATACATACTGGAATGAGTGATCTATTGTTCTGGCTGTTGCCGAGAGAGAGGTGCGTTTGGGTGAATCCTTGTCTCCTTCTAGTACTACCTGATTGGATATGATTCACGATTTTCAAAAAAGATTTAAGATTTACAAGTTGGGTATACATCTTGCCTTGTGACCCACATTGGCGTGTTACCATATTTACTCTAGCTCCTACTTAAAAGGACCTGCTTTAATGCTAAATTGGCAAAAGTAGAAATTTTCAACACTATCAGTGCAAAGCCTTCGATGAAAAATTTTCAACAAGCGCTTCAAAATGAAATTTTTGACAATGTAAGGATTGTAAGGGATAGAAATAGTATAAAAGAAGATCGTACAGATTTCTTCTTAAGTTCACCCTTTTATGGGAACCGCCTTTCAACCGTCAGCGTGATATTTTTTAAAATAATTCCTTGAAGAAAATCATACCGATATGTACTTGACTGAGAAATCTGTCGCACCGACGAAATGTAAAGCAATTTGCTGTAGTAAAGCAATTTATCAACTGCAGAGTGAGCTGGCACGATGTCACGTGTATCTTTCTCTCTCGCAGGAGTTTGACGAAAAATGGCGGATACCAACCTAACCGACGATATGGCCAGACCCTGATTAAAGGGTCCCCTGCTATCCTCTTTCCAGGCCGAGTCTGTGCATATTGTCACATATTTCCGTAGTTTAAAATCATCCGCAAAGATGATAAATAGTCTCTTTATCATAAACTCTTCGGGGTAAGTGTCTAAGCACGAGAAACATGGTAAACTACAGGCTTGACAGATCATTTGGCAGGGTGGACTAGCATTTCCCACGGGGAATAAGTATTTTCTGCCATTGCTGCCGAACCGTTCTTACATTTCTTACAATTTCTTACGTGTCGTTCTATTGCGTCTCGTGTGTACGCAGCGATGTCTTCATGGAGAAACACTGGAAGAGCGCGGTCGCGCGTTCACTCTGCGACTATTTCTTCGATCAGCAGCGGCGAGTCTTGTCCCCGGAGGACACGCCGCCGGTGATAGCTACTCCGCATCATTATCTCATCAGCATATATCGCTGTAACATGTTCTTCGTGGCGGTGTGCATGACAGAGGGTAATCTTCAACTGACCAGCCGTTGATCACACAATTTTGTACACGGAGCGATAATGCGAATATCCTTCGCTTCTCTTCCAGTTCCACCATTATTCGTCATTGAATTCCTGCACAGGGTGGTGGATACCTTCGAGGATTATTTCAGCGAGTGCACGGAAACCATTATAAAAGAAAACTATGTGGTGGTGTACGAGCTGCTGGACGAGATGCTGGACAACGGTTTCCCCCTGGCGACAGAGTCCAATATTTTGAAAGAGCTGATCAAGCCACCGAATATTTTGCGCACCATAGCAAACACTGTCACAGGCAAATCCAAGTGGGTGCATCTCGATGCTTCAACATTTGCATTAAACGTTCACGTAGATCAGGCCTTGTCAACTTCGGCCCCGAAGCTGCAGTGCACTCCGCGAGTGCCCAGAGAGGAGGAAGTGACGAAGTTGACGAGGTCTGGCACAAACGCATGCATAAGGTATTTCCTAATTTTTTTTATAAAATCATATACAGCGTTAGCGCGATCCTGCCAAGTGGACAACTATCTAACGTTCCTTGGAGACGAACTGGAGTGAAGTATACCAACAATGAGGCTTACTTCGATGTTGTCGAGGAAGTAGATGCGATTATTGATCGAACTGGGGCGACGGTGTTTGCGGAAATTCAGGGCTACGTATGTTTCCGTGCGCGCCGCATAAACATTATTCAGAAGAAAGTCCTCTATTATGAGATAGGATTCTAATGAGATAATAGGCTTTCCACGATCCAACAATGAATTTTCCACTAGATTTCACTCTGATAAATTCATGGCGAAACCAACAGACGACGCCTGTTAATTTAGCAGAAACTCCGCTATGTCATATTAGGAGCCTATCTCGTAATAGGGGACTTTATATAACATTAACGTATGCAATTGACATTTTAGATTGACTGTTGTATAAAACTAAGCGGTATGCCAGATCTCACCCTTTCATTTATGAATCCAAGACTGTTCGACGACGTGAGCTTCCATCCTTGCGTTCGATTCAAAAGATGGGAGGTACGCGAGCAACGTAATGTCACGCGTTTGTGAAAATTTAGTTTCAAGGTTGCACGTCTCGTTTCAGTCGGAGAGAATACTCTCGTTCATTCCGCCCGACGGCAACTTTCGCCTCCTTTCGTATCACATCGGATCGCAAAGCATTGTGGCAATTCCTATATACGTGAGACACAATATCAGTTTGAAAGAACCGGGCGGTGGTAGATTAGACATAACTGTTGGGCCAAAGCAGACCGTGGGTAGGACAGTAAGTTAACTTTCCAATGGACATGTGATATGTGGTACTCGTGAATTGTCGCCGTAATTATTTTTACTATTGCATAATTATAGGTTGAAAACGTGACTCTAGAAATCCCAATGCCAAAGATAGTTTTGAACTGCACCCTAACTCCGAACCAAGGAAAATATTCGTTCGATCCCGTCAGCAAGATATTGCTGTGGGATATCGGAAGAATCGACGTTTCCAAACTGCCAAATCTCAGAGGATCGGTAGGATAATTAGAAAGCCCCCCCAGAAATGTCTTATGAATAATTATGGTTGCGTTATTACGAGATTTTACATTTCAGATCACAATACAAAATTCGACAACCGTCACCGAGTCGAATCCTGCCATCAATGTACGTACGATAATGCCACCCTACTTTTCAGACGAGATTGGCAATTTAAATATCTTTTTTGAAGGAATAAAGGACTAAGAGCCGCGACAGGGTGTTAGTGTCTTAATATTTCATTCTAAATTTATTGCGAAAAAATATCACCTCAGGGTTTATTGCGATGAATATCTCCATGTGCCTCGGTGGTCGAATTGGTTGAGACGCCCGCCTAGCGAGAGGGAGGTTCATACCCTGGCCGAGGTGATATTTTTTCGCAATAAATTTAGAAGGAAATATTTAGACACTAACACCCTGTCGCGGCTCTTAGCCCTTTATTCCTTCCAATTTGTGTTGTATCACATTCGAGCCATACGAATTTTATTAATTTGTTAAACGGCTTGTTTCCAGGTGCATTTTACGATCAACCAATTAGCGGTATCTGGATTGAAGGTGAATCGATTAGATATGTATGGCGAAAAGTACAAGCCATTCAAAGGTGTCAAATACATCACTAAAGCTGGCAAATTTCAAATAAGAATGTAAATACGACCAATGCTAAAATGTTACGAATTATCCTTTTAACTTTATGTTAGATTATGTGCATTCTTATATTATTACATCACAAATTGAACGTTGCGAATTTACATGACATTAAAAGTATACCTTGCAGCTTCGTTCATTACTTAATTTACTGTACAAAAATAATAGACATTAATATAGAATTATGTAGAATAAATCTTTAAACTGAGAAGTCAAACATCTGTAAAATATAGTATGAAACGAGATCGCGTGCGAGGAGGAATAAGTTACAGTTTTATTTTAATAAAAGTCTACTGTAAAACTAAAGAATAATCGAAGAATAAAGTATATATCAAGACCATATCGAGAATCCTTCATGTCGATGGTTGACACAGTAACTTTTTTGCCTCCAAATCTTCCCACGTCGGGTGAGTAGCGTATGTGTACAATCGTTCCATATTGGTAGCATATATGGTGTGATTGCTAACGAGATTTTTATAAATCTATTTGGAAAAATAAACTCGGTTAAAGCACACGACTTCAACGTGACGAGCAGAGCATACGCCTCCTTTTATCATTACCTTCAATGTGTACTGCAAATCGGCCGTGCTCACTGGTTTTAACGGTAAACGCGTGGTTTGCGTGGAACAAGCGTACGAAAAGGCAGTGGCCTGTTCGGCCTCCTCGAAACTTGATTTCGCCGCGGGGATCTGGCCGTAGGGTTCCATTACTTCTGTCGGCCTGTATTTTAAGATGGATCCAGCGCATTAATCGTGCGCACAGCGTGAAAAGTGGCGCTTGCGACTTACCCGAAATTCAGCGGATTTAAGTACATGGAGTTTCTCTTCCACGAACTAGGCACTGGCTCTCCTATGTTATAGATGAAAGAGCCGTCCCGGACGGCGTATCCTTTCCTACGCGTGAAAACCGCGGTGAGTATATTTTTCAAGAAGATCTGCGTCGCGGCTATAACGATGTGCGCGGTATTATCCTCGGCCCCGTCCATATTATTCTCCCACGCCGCGAGCATTAATCGAGCTAGTACGAAGGTGCGATCCGGCAGGACGAGTTCCTGGGCGCTGGAGCGATTGGCGCCTATAGGCTCGTCCCCCACGGGCGACGACGCCTGGCCTAACACTTCCACGTACATGTCCGCCGGCTGTTACAAAGAAACGACGCAAACCATCATATTCGCGCATTGACGTTGACGCCACAATATTAATGTACGCCCGCGTACCTCGAAGTTTGACTTGTCAGTCTTGTACTTGCGCTTCAACCTCAGTCTTCTCTCCTTGGAAACTTTGTCCCTGTCTATCTTGGTCGGCGTGACGGCGGCCAATCCGCGAACCTTGTTAAAGAGACACAGCAGGAATTCGTTGTGCAGGTGGACCTGATTCTCCGTCATGAGATTGCGAGCCTCGCAATCGAATTCTTCTTTCGTGGTCTGAAACAACGGTGACGTGTTAGTGTGCGAAATGCGCATATCTGACGGGATCGTGTGAGAGAAATCGTACCTTCATCTGGAACCACAGCTTCATCTTCTCGAAGTACCTAATCGACGATCGTAGAAATAGAGATTTGTAAATCGCAGTCTTATAAGATTAGGTTTGTCTCTCATAGCGTTACATCCTTGCTCCTCTTATTCTCTAAAAGGAAAGAAAAAAAACTTACACTTTTGAGTTTTCGCCGAGCGACGCCACAAGATTTTTCCTGGCCAAATTTAAATCCTTAGAAGTGGTCATTTTCCAGGGCTCTCGTTTCCTCGGTGGCGCACACGAGCGTTGTTGTGAGCAATGTGAGGATTGTGAGGTTGTGACCACGGAGGTAAAGGAGGGAACATTGGCCGCGTTCAGCAGACACAACTGTTGAACGAGCGCTCAATGATTTCTTAACATGATTGGCTGGATCTAAAAGTATTAGCCAATCATACTGAGCGCTCACTCAACAGTTGTGTCTGCTGAACGCGGCCATTAAGATCAGCTTGTAGACGCGGGCAATTCAAATAACGTATAGCGTACAAAAGACGTGAGATCGAAGGAAAGTAGATAAAGAGTTGGTTCAGGGGGATTTTAATTTCATTTTTATAACGTAAAAATTATATATTAATCTATTTCGTAATAAATAATGTTTTTGCTAAAGTCTCCGCGCATTTGTCGGAAGATCCCGTCCTCACGATATCGTGCAAAAATATAACACAGAGAGCATTGTTACAAATTAAACGTTGTATAAAATCTTTATCAAATATAAATAGGAAACTTATTTGCTATACGAAGTGGAAAAAAAAGTTGTCAACATTTGTATGTACACGTATCCGACAAATTCAATCTCTTTACAATAGTATTTCCTATACAATTACGATACTTTCAAACGTTTCGCAGCTCCGCTCAATTAGTTCCTCAGTCGTGTCGGGCAAAATTACCGTAAAAGGTTTGACGCGCGTCGAGATACCCTACTTCTAATTGCGATCATCTTTCCGAGTATATACAAGTCGCCGAAGACTACCATTTCCTTCCGAGCCAATCCTCGGAATTCTTTTTCCTATTTTTACGACCCTTCTTTCTATGTCATCTGATCTCTTTGGCCGGCACCTTCGACCGAATGAGATCCCACGTTATCAACGAGGCGTTCGATCTCGTACATAAATCCATGACGAGCGGAGCGTTTCGTGCGTCGCGCGTCGCTCCTAAGCAGGTTCCTGTTGCCATGTTGTAGATGGGCGTGCCACTCTGTAATGACAAAGAATTTAAAATTCTCAGTGTCGACGAACTTCTATTGCTATTACCATTTAATAATCGATATCTATTAAAAAGACAAAATTTCTAATTGTTGTAAAAAGACATTGCTACAAGTTTAGAATTCCGTAAGGCAAGCGTTCGAGAAATGCCGCATCAAGAAATCTTACAACGCGCTTATGACGCCAGTCTTGGCTTCCTCCCATCTCGTGACACTTTCCAAGCTTCGGAATCTTCTCGGCTCCTTCCATGCAAAGCATCTGACCAAGCACTAGTTCGTTCTTATCGGTCTCGTACCACATCTATAAAAAGTGTACGTGTAAATTTGAAAACGTTCTCTCCTCTTGCTCTCCTCGTTTGACAATAGCCCACCTGCGATTTAATTCTCAAACAGGGCGTCAAGATAAGTTTCGAGCCTTTAGTCTTGATATCCTTTTCACTCTGGACACAGAGCGCGGTGTTTGAAAGTCTGATTTGATACTGATCGGTATAATTCCTCTTCCTCGAGTGCCAAGGCTGCATCGGTCTCTGCTCAAGCTTGGCCCACTTGTCCTTCAGCCGCCTCTCCGTGTCGTCCGGCAACGTTAGTTCCGGATAAACCACCTTCAGGTACCAGCCGAATGTTTTGCACTTTAATCGCTGGCGCAACGCCAATCGCTCCGCGACATCGCCGTAATCAATCGCTTTAGCATTTTTCAGAAAGTAATCTTTGTATTCATCCATCCACACGTGCGCGACCCGCAGGGAATTCTTCAGCATGGTGTCGTGCGGATCGTCCGAGCCGTACGGTCGTCGTCTTCTGAACACATGACCCACGCGTGAGCAGGGAACAAGCTCGATACTGCCGCCGCACATCCATATCTGAAAACAAAACGAGTTAATAACATTGTTTTGCCGTGAATACATGGCCAACTAAATGTTAACCAAGACGCAGTAGAGCAATACTTACTCGGAATGATATTTCAAGATTCTCACCACCCCAAACGTCCATACCGACGTCGTATTCTCCCATTTTTATAAAATACTCTCTATCAATAGCGAACAGTCCCCCGGCCATAGTCGGTGATCTGTTTATCGGTAAGAAATATTTATTTATTCAACAAGTCTGCGATCAAATGACCATTAGCTTTACAATTAGGCACGCGTTTCTATATGTAATACACGTGTAAAAGTATCGTCTTACTTGATGGGTTTTACAAAGTCGTCGTCGCGTTTTAATGTCCCAAGTGGCAAATTGTCCCACTTAAAATGAAGGCCCCAATTAAAGCCACCTCTCACCAGCGGACTGGCGGTATACTGAAACGTATCTGCGTTTATAATGTCGATCACCGGCATCGGTACGATGCTCCTCGAGTGAGCAATCCTCGAGAGAAGCGGCTCTATCCACATCTCGTTCACTTCTATGTGGCTGTCCAAGAAGATCAAAACCTTGCCGGTCGCTTTCCGAGCGCCGAACACCCGCGCCCTGATCAAACCTTCCCTTCTCTCGGTCTTGAACAATCGTACTCGGTCGTTGAAGTTGTTCTCGACGTACACTCTTATCTTCTCGTGCAACGTCTCGCTGTCGCTGTAATCGTTCACCAGGATGATCTCGTGTAGAAGCGCCACCGGCGTTCTCTCCAGCACAGAATGCAAGGAGCGCAACAGGGTCATGTAATGCTCGTTGTAGAAGCAGATTATTACACTGGCGTTTGGCAAATCGGCGGAATATCTCTGCGCGCCGCACAGCTTGTGCCTCGTGTCCGGTATGTTCCTCCGCACGCCAAGATTGTCCGATATCAGAACGTTGAAGGCGTAATTCTTGTAACCCTCGTCCCGTTTTCGCTGATCCTCCAAATTCTTCACCATGCCCAATTCGTTCAGACCTGTTGCGACAGTTTGCTCGGTTAGTTTACTGAATTTGACAATCCGAAGCCTCGTGTCCACGATTCGAGAACAGTGTCCAGATTCTAGTTTCGAGAGATATGCAGCTAATCAACTTGCACCTTTTACGAAAAAGCTGCAAACTGAATGGTCACACATTTCTCGAAAGGAGAACTTAGACACTGTAGCCTGCAACGTGCAGTGCAACGGTAGCTGTAACCTGGTCCGTACATCTTAAACTCCACCTTCCAGTAAACGCAGTTTGTGTTTTTTAAACCTCCACAGATCGCATCGGGCCTTGCGTTTGCGCATCAACGCCTTTATCGACGCTTTGCAATTCAAGTGCGGAATCGATATTTGTATTTGCATCGCAAGAAAGTAGCTGCAAAGTAACGATTCGTTACTTTTTAAGTAACTGTAACTGGTTACACTTTTAGCGAAGAGACTGCAACTGCAACTAGACACTTTTATAAAGTAACTCGCCCAACCCTGCCTTAGATTGCAGCCACCGTTGCACATTGCGGGCCACAGTGGGTATCCAATTTTTACAACGACCTGGAGTATCAAGTAAGCATTGCGATACCTTGATCCAAGGTGACTGCAGGTCTCACCGGCACAGGCTGCAACTGCTGCAGGAGGTCGTTGTTCCCGGGATTTCTATTGCCCTTCAAGTTGTAGGCTTCCTTTCCGACTGAGACGAGCTTGTCGTTGCGCGCGACGACCACGTTGTCGCGCAGCATGATCTCCTTGTTGATACCCTCGCCGCGACCGGAAGCACCGGGCACCAGGACCGTGGGGCTGGCGGCGATGGCATTCTGCGACAGTCTTGAGTAAAGGTACAGACTGAACGCCCAGGTCAGGGAAGCTATCACTATTCCCGACAGGAACGACACGTACCTCGTCGATATCATCTGTCGGAAAAAATAACAGGTCAACGATCGCCTAGTCGTTTCTCCGGTAACGTCAAGATTGTTTTTTTTTTCTTTACTCCTGAAGAAATCCACGGAGATTAATTCTCGCCTGGACTCGACCTACCGCACAATTGTGACTCAACCTCGGGATATTTTGACGATTCAAATAACTTCCTCGGAACGCATCTCCTCGAGGCAGACAGTGGATCTTCTTATTTGTATGGCACTTGTCTTCTCTAGAAGTACAATACGGCGAAATGAGGTCTTCAGTTGACAGCCGGGCGCAAGTGCGTCGCCATCTTGGCAACATTGATCACGTGGGGGTAGCGGGGCATTAAACGTAAATTAAACGTCCAGGGGCTTTAAACGACTCCGATTAACTTTAACCGACGATTAACTCAATCGTTTTAGTTTTCTTGTAATTTCCTTTACAATGCAAACGACAAAATTAAAGGTGCGTAAAGACAAATAAATTCAAGACGCGGTCTTGAATATCCGACTACGAATGCCGGCCATAGAGTACACAAACTGTAGCACGGACACGAACCGTGTATGCATGTGCATTACCCACCGTGCATAATAGACGTAGTTGACGGCCGCTCTCTCAGGTGGCGCATTTGTCTCCGAAGCTTGTGGCCGCTCTCGGGTTTCTCTCTCTGTCAAACATACATAAAGGCCACTGTCCTCTCCGCGCACGGACGAATTCGATCTATTTATCCTGGCTGACAGCTCGCGGCAGGGAGAAGACTACTGCCAGGGATTCGGACGACTCGATCTGCGGGTTTAACTTAAATTGACACGACAGCGCTTGGCGCACTGACACCTCTGTCTAACATCCGCCGGTGAGACACGGTTTTCTTTTTATTATCTAATATTCGTCATAATATCGGTATGCTATCGTCCATGTCATTAATCATCGAGCCGTGAGTGGACGCGTCTTGCCCTATTGTTGCTAATTATAACTTAATTGTACCGTGCCCTTAATGTACCTAGCCTGCGTAACAAAATTACGCGGAAGCACTCGAGAGGAAGATCCGAGGTACACGCGCTTTAGACAATGTATATCAGAGCGCGACACGTTTACTTTATATATATATAAATAAATACTTATCTCTTGCTCTCGGCTGCAAGACGCAAGCTACGTATTTGCTCTTAGATATCACGCTATTGGCTGCGTTTGGCAGGAAAAGCTGCTTTGCAACTGTTGTAAAATTCGTGAATCTGATTGGTGTGTTCTCTCAATCTTGTGTGAATTTAAGAGCATACGTCAATCAGATTCATGAATTTTACAACAGTTGCAAAGCAGCTTTTTCTGCCGAACGTAGCCATTGTCTTTCAGATGTGCGCAATACAATGCAACGTAGCCTACTGTGATTATGTGAGACCCGAGCTCGCACGTTCTTGCACTTAGAAGCGAGCCTTGTAGATTTTTATGCGAGATACAGGCGGAGCTGAAGGGCAAAATTTACGGACCTGCCGGCATCGTAATAAAACGACGTGGCTCAAACAGTAAACAGTGGCCCTGGCGTCTCGTACATTTAAATGTGCTTCATATTTAATCTTTCCCCAGTAGCGCAGTGCATTGGCTAAACATCGGCCAAATATTAGTTACATTAGAAGTGCATTGGCCGATATCGGCCATAAAAGCCAATACTGGCCATGGAATAAGTGCAAATGTTGCACGATGTTAATTATATGATAGATTTCTATTGGAAGTGCATTGGCCAGTATTTAACAACGCAATAAGAACATCGGTCCGATATTGCATCAATCGGACCAATGTTGCCAAATAGACACGTTGGCTAAATAAGAGAAGGCGTCCGTCTCACAGCATTGGACCACTAATGGGAATACCAGGTTCACATTGGGAGCTTTCCAGCAAGCGACACAAGTCGACACAAGTGTCGTTCTGCCTTTATTATTCATTGAATGCGAAGAAAGATAGAACGACATTTGTGTCGACTCGTGTCGCTTGCTGGAAAGCTCCCATTATTTCCCAATATTGCGCCACCGGGTTTCTCCTCCCCTGCCATTTTATATCTCTCGACTCTTTCCTCGACTGAGTCACGCATCTAGTTTGGACGACAATTACTTCAGGCGCCGCAGGAAAAAAATGAAAATAGGAAGAGCGAGTAATCCGGCTCCTCTCGGTTTTACGAAATATCAATCTGCATTTTATTGTGACACAGAGTGTCGATACGTTGGAAGAGAGCGAGAGGAGTGACTCATGCGTTAGGAACGACAAGATCCAGCGTGTCACTGTCGTGGAACTATTTGTGGGGCGCACTAATCTCTCCTGCACCGTCCCGCTTCATTCGGAAATCTGAGATGCACGACCGGTGCGCTTTTGCGGGCGCACATGGTCTCCAAACTACGCCAACTACCCTCCGAGTCTTTTGTTTAACGAATTACACGTCTTTGTTCTTGTTATATAATACGTTTGACGTTGCCGCGTAATTAAATTGGACTAACGCTTGTTTTTTTCCGATTGATTAGATTAGAT